AGAGGGAGACTCCGTCTCAAAACAAAACCAAATAAATCAGGGCTCCCAGACCGAGGGATTTCACGGACTCATAAAATTAATAAAACAAAACTGCAGAGGCAAAGGTTGCAGGGAGCGGGGATCATTGTGCCACTGCACTCCAGCCTGGGCGGCGTGCACACACACGTGCACACACACGCACATGTGCACACACACGCACACACACGTGCACACACGCATGCACACGCGCACGCACATGCACGCACACACGTGCATGCACACGCACATATACACACACACGCACACATGCATGCACATGCGCACGCACGTGCATGCAGATGCACATGCATGCGCACGCGCACACACACACACACACAGTCCTCTGCTTTGGAGCAGGCATCAGATGTGCACACACGTGCACACATGCACATACACACACACACACACACACACACACACACACACACACACATAGTCCTCCGCTTTGGAGCAGGCATGTGGGATCTGCCTTCCCTCACACCCTCCCCTGAGGCTACCAGGAGTCAGCACTCTCCAGAAACCACCCCGGCTCCCTGGAGAAAGCGAGACAATGCCGGATCCATTAGGCTATTCAGCAGCGGGCTGTGAATCCCCATTTATTTGGAAGAACCCTATTAAATTTTCCTCCTTTCGCCCTTCCCATTAACTGATGAAAGCTTTAAAGGTGGCAGTTCTGGTCCAGGAAAATTCAGAAAACAATGGCGTTTTCCCAGCCTGGCCAGTCATCCGAGGCCAGGGCTGCCTGGGCCCCTTGGCTGCTGTGAGAGGCCATGCTCTCCAGGCCCCCTAGAGTGGGGGATGGTGACATCGCAGGCCCAGGCACAATAGTACTTTAAATCCAGACACATTGTGGGCTTGGAACTCTTGGCCCTGGTAGAGCGGGCACAGCACATGTGTGGGTTTCAGGGCCTGCTTTTGACTCATTAGGGACTGCTGCGAATGTGGCCTTGGAAGGATAAGGAAGGGAGGCCCTTTGCCTCTGTTTGGTTACCTGGCTGAGAACCTTTGCCTCCACCTTCAAGATGGCGCTGAGGCCAGGTGCAGTGGCTCACGCCTGCAATCCCAGCACTTTGGGAGGCCAAGGCGAGTGGATCATCTGAGGTCGGGAGTTCAACGCCAGCCTGATCAACATGGAGAAACCCTATCTCTACTAAAAATACAAAAAATTAGCCGGATGTGGTGGTAGATGCCTGTAATCCCAGCTACTCAGGAGGCTGAGGCAGGAGAATCACTTGAATCTGGAAGGCGGAGGTTGCAGTGAGCCGAGATCAAGCCATTGCACTCCACCCTGGGCAACAAGAGCAAAACTCCATCTCAAAAAAAAAAAAAAAAAGATGGTTCTGAGCATGAGATAATCCATATTCACAAAACCCCGTGTGCCCTGCAACCTTTTCCGTCCATTAATATTGACCAGGCTCCCCAAGGAGCCCAGGCCAGCTGCTAACAAAGAAAAGGGGTGAAATTCTTTCACTCCCCACAAGAGTTACGATGGTGGGAAGAGCTAGGCCAGGGGAGGGACTGGCACCTGGTTCCCTCTGTTTCTGACACACACAGCTCAGCAGACAGTGATGCCAGGAAACACTGATACCCAGGCCAGGCGCTGTTCTATTCTCTATTGCTGTGTAACAAAGTATTAGACATTTAGCAGCTTAGGATAATGTGTCTATTATCCCATAGTTCAACCAGGCCCTGTGCTCTGGGTCTTACCGGGCTGCAGATCAAGGTGTTGGCCAGGACACGGTCTCACATGGGGGCTTGACTGGGGAGGGACCTACCTCCACACTCAACTGGGTTGTTGGCAGTATTTGTCTGTAGGACTGAGGGTTGCTATGTACCTTCCTATACACGTTTGTGTGTGGATGGCTGGGTTTTCCGTTCTCTTGGCTATATGTCTAGCAGTGGAGTTGCTGGGCTGCAGGGTAACCCTATGTTAGGCCATCTGATGGACCGCCCGCTGTTTTGCAAAGCAACTGCATCCGTTTATGTTCCCATCAAAAGCGTGTGACGGTTTGCACGGTGTTTTCACATTCTGGGGATTAGTTGCTGACACTTCATCATCCGGAGAGTTCAACTTTAAAAAACAGATTCCCAAATTCAGAAGTGGTGGCATGCACCTATAGTCCCAACTCCCTGGGAAGCTGAGGCAGGAGGATGGCTTGAGTCCAGGAATTCAAGGCGGGCCCGGGCGACACAGCGAGACCCTGTCTCTTAATGAAAACATTTTTAAAAAGAGGATTCCCAGATTCTCCCTGAAAACTCAGATCTGGCAAGACAGGGCTCAATTCCATCAGCACGATACCTGCTGACCCTGGGAAGGGCTGTGGCTGTCTCCCTGCAGACTCATCCACTCGGTGCCCTTACAGAGACTTCCCTCCGGGCCCCTGCGGGGATGTGTGTTTCAACTTCTGGTCCTCGGCTGCAAGCCCCTTGAGGAATGCGGGAGCCCCGCCCAGGCCACCTGTGCCGGAAGCCCACTGCCCGGTAGGCTGGTGTCTGTTGCTCAGTCTCGTGTGCATTCCTGCCCCGGCAGGCTGCTGCCTCCCACACCTGGAATGCTGTGGCTCCTGTTCCCACTCTTTCAAATCCTACTGCTCTTGAAGGCCCGGGTCACATTCCAGCTGCTCCAGGAAGCCTGTGTGGATTTATTTCCCCAGTGCTGGGGCCCCTCCCGCTCTAAGCTCCTGTAGGACTTGTCATGTGCGCCCCTGCCTCCCCAGTGCTATCCCTCTGCCATCTTCTGTTCTCTCCTTAAACGCTGTGGCCCCCAGTTGCCCTGTCAGCTGTCTGAGGTTACAGTCAACTGCTTGGGGCCAAATCTCTCTCTCTCCAGTTACTGTGTGAGCTCAGACCGCTCAGTTCGTCTCTTCCTGCCTCCATGCCTTGTTGGAAGGATTAACTGTGCTAGTCAGTATAAAGCCCTAGATCAGTGCCTGGCACATAGTAGGTGCTCAGGGAAAGGGTTATTTTCTCTCTTGTTCCAGTGCTGAGCCGAGCGAAGTGTGAGCCTCACCGCAGCTGTGTTGGCTGACTTGTCTTTCCACTCACAGTCCCGCTTCTGGGAGCCATCTCCAGCCCAGGGGGGGGCCTCTCAGCTTCTCCCTCCAGCAGAACCCTGGCCCCGCAGCAGCTGCAGGAGGAACCAGGAGGTGGGCAGGGGTCAACACTGGGCATGGCACAGGCCTCCCCTGCTCCCCTCCAGCTTGTTCCCTGGGGACTTGAACGCTAATTCGGCCCAGTGTGACGGGGTGCTGCCTCATAAGCCCTCCCCGGCAGCAGGAGCCTCTGGGGCTGGCTGGAGCTGCCATCTGTGCCCTGTGGTAGACACAGTAGCCCCAAGCCTGCCTCTCTTTAGCATGACCCTGCAGCGTTTCCCGAGACGACTCAGGGCAAGGCTGCAGGCGTGACCCCGTTCCCACAGGGTGGGAACCACCTCGCTACGGGGCCCCAAGGCCCCTGCGTGCTGATGGGCTGACCCTGGGCTCGGAGCCAGTGGATGAATGAATAGAGCAAGCCGCCGCCTCCTGGCTCCAGCTAAGCCGCCAGCAGGCCTGTGGGATTTGTGGGGGCTGTGGTCTGGCCAGTGTCACCATATGGATCCCATAAATTAAAGCGTTCCCAGAAACAAACGGTAAATTTCTATGTCCCCCGCATGCGGGGCTGGTGCAGCCTGTGCTCGCCTGGGGAGTTCTGAGGCCTGCATCTCACTTAGGCACTCGGGTTTTATAGCACTAATCCCTAAAAGAAAAAAAAAAACAAAAACTGGATCAACAGAAAGTTGCTTTTCCACAACCCCACCATCCCCGGAGCTCCTCACTGGGAAGTGGAGGGTCACCGTGGCTGGTGCCCTCATGACCGGGTATAGCAGTTGGTTGTTGAAGCTGGGGCATAGCTCGCCACCTCTGAAGCCCCTGGCCTGGCCTGACCCTGCCTGTGACCTCGGGCTCCTGCCAACCCTCCCTGGAAAGGGGACGGGCCAACGAGAGCAGCTGTCACGGTGACAGAGAGCAGCCGCTGACAGCCAGGGCTGAGGGCGGAGAGCAGGGAGCCCTTTCCTGGAGACGGAGTTGCTGTGTGGGATGATGAGAAAGTTCTAGAAATGGATGGTGGTGATGGTAGCACAGCACTGGGAATGTCCTCAGTGCCACTGAACTGCACACTTAGAAATGGTCAGAATGGTAAATTCTGTGTTAGGCGTGTTTTATGACAATTTTAAAGACTATAAAAATGTGGCCGGCACGGTGGCTCATGCCTGTAATCCCAGCACTGTGGGAGGCCGAGGCCGGTGCATGACTTGAGGTCAGGAGTTCAAAACCAGCCTGGCCAACATGGCGAAACCCCATCTCTACTAAAAAAAACAAACAGTCCCACTGTTTGTTTTCTGAAAGAGAGGTGAGGAGCCTGCATGCTGCACCACCACCCCCCCTCCCCGCCGCTGGTAATTACAGCTCAGGATGGCACCAGGTGCCTGGCGGCCCAGTCTGAAAGAGAACATCCCTTGGGGGCACCTTCCTCTGATTTGCAGGGTGCAGCTGAGATGGTTTGCCCAGCTCTCTGAGCCATGTGCCAAGCCCTCGGGACTGTCTGGGCAAGGACCACAGAATCAACCTTGCCCCCACCACCGCCAGGGGACCGGACAAGGCCGGGCTTCTGGGCTCAGCCTCAGGTTCCCTCTTAGATGCTCTGGGCTTCGTGCAGTACTGGCCAGCTGCTGCGAGGTCTTGAGAAGCTCCCGTTTTGGATGGCCAAGCAGACAGTGCTGTGTGGTCGGGACCCCAGCAGCAGGGTTCCAGCCTAGTGTCCCCTAGGCTAGGCTTGCTGGGTGAGGAAGACACTGGCACTGGCCTTACTGGGGACCTGCTCTGCTGTTGCCTGCCGCCAGCCAATCTGAGTTCCTGATGGCCAACGTCAGGCCATCGCTGGGGAGGAATGGCACCCACGGCCGGAGAGCCTGGGCTCACCGTGTCCGCCTCTTTTCCTTTCAGGCTGTTTCTGGATCTCTGGAAGTATCGACAGCCGCTCACCCTCCCACCCGGGAGTCTGAGCCCCGGCCGGGTGCCCCTGCGGAGAACCTGCCCAGAGGCCCCAGGATGGTCCAGGAGCTGAGGCCAGCACCGTGTCTGCAGGGCAGCCAGGAGGAGGACAGACCAGACCTCACTGGCGCAGGTAGGTGCCGGCTCTTTCTGTGTCTCTGGGTTCTCTGCTGGGAAAGGGTTGTCCCGGCCGGGATGGTGGCCCCCAGAGCCGAGTTCAGACCCCATTCCACCTCGTGTTCTCGACATCCTAGCAGAGGGACGGTACTGGCTGGGTCTCCCTCGCTGAGTTTGGGTTTTCTTTTCCATACTCCTTAGGGTTCCAGAATCCTGGCTTAATCCACGTCCCTGGTTCTCGATCCCCTCACCTGCCAGCCTCCCACACCGCCTTTGTGGTGTTTATTTTCCTATATACTCGTCTTCATTCATTCATTCATTTGAAAAAATGATGTCATGGATATTCTTGAGCCCAGAAGGGGTCGTTTCTGGGTTTTCGCGGATGTCAACGTGCTGTGTCCTGGGTGCACATGTGTGGTCCTCTTGGGCTGGGGCACCAGAAACCAGGCTGCTTTGTACACAGCGCGGGGCCGGGGGGGCGGGGTGCCACCGCCGTCTCCTTGCTCCCACTCCCGCCAGCCACAGACACGCTGTGGACAACACCCTCCACCCCAGGCATCTTCAGACACTTCCTGAGGGCTTTTGCATGGTGCTTCCCTGAGGCCAGGCGAGGCTGTGCCCTCCTTGGTGTGGACCCCCAAGGCTTTGGCTGCTGGGCCTTGGGACCTGGGCCAGGTCAGACCCTTTGGCTGGGCTTGGACATGCCGTGATCCCTGTGTTGCATTTTTATGGCCCTGTCCTGAAGCCACCCCTTAGGCTGTATGTTCATCAGCAAGACCCTCCAGAGGGAGCTGTGGTCAAGGCTCTGCCCTGCCCGCATCACTGCCCCTAGAGCAGAGAGACTGGAGACTCCCAGCCCAGCCCACCTCAGAGCCAACCGTAGTGAGGACATGGGCCCAAAGCACCTGTGTTGTTGGGCCTAGCCGGGGAGGAGATGGACAGATGGGGGATTGCTGGGGGCCCATTCTCCTAGCGCTGGACTTTGATGTGGGGCCTCCGTCTGCAGGACAACCCCAGTACTGGCCTCCTTCTCTTGGTGTGGTAGGCTCCGGAGGAGGGAAGGGGTGGCCAGGGGCTTTAGGGACTCTGAGCCCTTTGAAGGGTGTCCAGACACTGGCAGATGAGGACAAGGTGGTCAGGCCACAAAGCAGGCCAGGCAGGGACTACTACCCCAACTCTGTCCCCCAAATGCTGGCGCTGGCCTTACTGAGGACCTGCCCTGCCATTGCCCTGAGCCTGCTCATCACCGTTGCTGATCACCAAGGCCAGGCCGTCGTCGGGGAGGAATGGCTAAGAGCCTTGGACAAGTGAGTTCCCTGCTCTGTGCCTCAGTTTCCCCATTTGGGAAATGGGAGAACAGCTAACGGTATGGTGATTAACTCAACCAGGACCCGAGCATATTTGTGATAAGCCTTGGCTCCCTCAGCGTTCAGGTTGCTGGCTGGGGCCAGTGAGTTAGGATTTATTTGTGATTTCTGACGCTCAGCTCTGGGTGGCAGCTCAGGCTCGGCCCACACCTACCTGCCTGTCGCTCAGGACATCCGCAGGGGAGGCTCAGGCAGAGGAGGACGCCGGTGTTCCCTGTGGCTGGGGCAGGCTGGGTGCCCCTATTTGGTGGTGCGTCCTCCTCGGCCTGGGGCTCATGGGCCAGTGGAGGGCTCCCAGGAGGAGGCAGCTTGCCTGGTTCTCACTGTTTCTCTCCCAGTGCTTTGGGCCCCAGGAGAGCCCCAGGAAACCAGAGCCCTCCGGAGCAAAACAAGGCCCAGACGGACTCTTAGGCGGGGTTTGGCTGTGGTTTGGGGAGCAGCCCCAACCACTTCTTATCCGAGGGACTTTGGCAAATTAGTGAGTCGTCCAGAGCCTCTGTCCTCACATCTATAAGAGGGAGCCGTCAGACGAGGTCTTGGTGGAGGTTTCGTGGCAACTGCATGCGCTGATGCTGGGGAGATGCTTGAAGAGGGCTGGGCACCGAGGAAGAACTGAGTCTGCCTCCCCTCACATGTGCTGGGACACACGTCCTCTTCCTTCAGTGGAACAGCATCCTGTAGGTCAGAGAGGCCGAGCAATCTGCCTCCACTCACACAGCAGTGAGCCAGGGGGATGGGGCTTGAACCCCGAAGTCTGCCGTTACACCTCATTCACCCCGCCCTTGCGCACCAGGCTGCTTCCCTGAGTGCTGGGAGGCTGAGGAGTTCGAGACCAGCCTGGCAGCCTCCAGGCAAAACTCTGTCTCTACAAAAAATACAAAAATTAGCCTGGCATGGTGGCATGCACCTGTCGTCCCAGCTACTTGGGTGGATTACTCGTGCCCAGGAGGCTGAGGCGGCAGTGAGCCATGATCATACCACCCCAGCCTAGGCAACAGAGCAAGACTCTGTCTCAAAGAGTTTTTTAATTTAAAAAAATGTTTAAAAATAATCAATTCAGGAATTTTCAGGGTGACGTTTCCAAAAGGAGTCCTTTTCGGAGACCTTTGGGAATGGGGCTGGTCACTCCTGAGTCCCTGGTCCCAGTGGCTACCAGGTCCCTGGAGAGAACCTTGTCTTATCAGCAGGTCCTTGCTGCCACTCACTGAGTACTAGCAGGGGACCGTGGGGGACCCCTGAGTGTCTGGGAGAGCGAAGAAGGGTGCAGAGGTTATGGGGGACGCCCGTAAATGTCCCTGCAACAAGGGCCAATCTGGGAAGCCAGGAGCCCCTGCCCTGTGGCCGGGTGGGGCAGGTGGGGGCAGGTGGGGCCAGGTGGGGGCTCAAACCTACGTCTGCCAGCTGCTCCCTATCAGGCTGCAGCCTGAGCCCCGCCGGCTCCCCAGCCAGAGACTCACCAGGAGCGTGTCCCGCAGTCAGGCCCCGCCTGGGCAGCCACTGCTGCTCAGAAACGTGACAGTGACTAATGGTTTATTACACACCTGCCACCTCTCATCTGGCAGGCGGGCGGGCGCTGTCTCCCGGGCCCAGCTGTGCACTGCCAGCTGGGCGGCGGGGCGGGCGCAGGGGGAGGGGGCACGTCCAGACACGCAGACGCATGAGACAGACACAGCCACAGTGCACACACGCAAACACACCCAGAGGAAAGCAGGCATGCGGAGACACAGCCCGCAGACACAGCATAGGCACTGGTGCATGCATAGACCACACGCCCGCACAGATAGGCAGACACAGGGGACACAGCACACACACGCACACACACGCGCACGCACACACGCACACGCGCACGCACGCGCACGCACACACGCACGCACACACACGCACACACACACACGCACACGTGCACACACGCACTTCTGCCGAGGTTTTTCCCAGGCACATGGTATGCACATGGATACACAGCCTCACAGGCACAGGGCCACATGCAGACAGACACAGACCCTGTCTGCACCACACACACCGCACACAGCCGCACACCCAGAAGCCAGACATGCTCCCACAAGTGGGTACATGCACAGCCTCACATAGATGCAGTGCACACATGAACACATGCACAGACTCCCTCACAAACACACAGACACACACAGGTGCAAAGACAGAGATAGGCACAGAACCCCCCCCCCCACCACACACACACAGGTTCAGAGACACAGAGACACACAGAGACAGGCACAGCCCCCCCCCACACACATACAGGTGCAGAGACACACAGAGACAGGCACAGCCCCCCACAGACACAGATGCGCACAGGCACGAAGACCCTCTGACACACACATATAAGCACACACCACAGACACACACAGGATGTACATTCCAAATGCCTATTCCCACACAGTGTCCCTTTTTCCACTGTCTCTCTGGCCCCCTGCCATGGTGGCCCCACCCTGACACTGGCTTGGGCAGGGGCCTTTGCCAGTGGTGGGGGTGGCAGGGCAGGCGGAGGGACTGTAACCACCCAGGGCAGTTCATTTCTGACCTCCATTTCCCTTGAAATGCCTTGTATATGTGGACGGCGGCTTTTGCCAGGGAAAGGAAGCAGGTACAGGAGGAGCCGCTGTGCCAAGCTGGGGCCTGGGCTGAGTCCCCCAGGGACACACATGGCCGACAGCTGCCTTGGCTTCTCCCAGAGGCAGAGGTTGTGTGTGTTGTGAAAGGCTGTGATGAGTTTTGGTGACACTGGGTCCCCCGTACCCCAGGCTCCCAGGCCAGCCCACAGAGCTCATCAGACTCATGTCACTACGGTTGGATGGGGCTACTGCCTTGTCCAGAGTGGGGCCACTCCCTGGCAAAGGCTCCCGGGGGCGAGCCTGGCTCTCAGCATTTGGGTAGCTTTAGTCCTCAGGTGTTGCATTCGAAGTGCCCGCCCATCTGGGAGGTGGCTGCTTGCTGGCTTTGGGGAGCACAGCTCCAGGGCTGGGCACTCTGCCCTCCTGTGAAGACATGGGGACCCCTGGGGCTGGATTCCTCTGGCAGGCAAGGGCCAAAGGGAGTAACCAGGCATCTCCAGCTGCCGGGAGAAGGGTGCACCTGAGACCTTGTGACAAGTGTCCTTCCCTCTTGATGCGGGGGGCACTCGAGCTCATCTGCTTCCAATACTCTTCGACCTTTAGTCAAATGAAGACCCATTTCTCATGTGCTGTCGCACGCAGTATAAAATCCATCGAGAGGACACTCCTCATTTATCTTCAGCGGATGGGAGCAGGCTTCCCTGGAACAATTATCTCTGCATTGTCCGCAGCCGCCGTGGGAGAAAAGCAGCGCTGGCTGGTGAGAGGAGGGAGCGGCTTGGACTCAGGTCCAAGTTTCCAAGTTCCAGCGCTGCTACCTCCCGGCCAGGGAGCTGACTCAGGGTTCAGGACCTTCCCTGGGCTCAGCTGCTCTGACTGCTGATTAGGCATGGTAAAAATAAAATCCCTCTGGTAGCATGGTGTCAGTGACATTGGAGAAGGCACTGAGGGCTGCCATGCAAGGCTGTGCAGGGTGCACACTGTACATTCTCATTGTGGTCTCTGTGAACACGCTTTCTGCATGGCCATCGGGGCTGCGGTGTTGGGCAGCTCAGTGGTGGCCCTGGAGTTGTGCCACGTGG